TTTGTTTTTTCCGTCTAAAGTTGAAAAACGAATTATACTTACTTATTAAAACTAAATTAGGAAAAATAAAATAAAGAACTTTTCTCGTCAGCATTTTAGGGCAATATTCTAAAATGTCTTATTTAGAAAAAAAAATCATTTTTTACAGAATAGAAAAACATAGTTTTAAGTATATATCTGAATAAGGCAAAAAATGATAAATGAAAAAAAGGATCCGTTTTTTCGTTTTTGTTTTTTCCGTCTAAAGTTGAAAAACGAATTATACTTAGGCTACTTATTAAAACTAAATTAGGAAAAATAAAATAAAGAACTTTTCTCGTCAGCATTTTAGGGCAATATTCTAAAATGTCTTATTTAGAAAAAAAAATCATTTTTTACAGAATAGAAAAACATAGTTTTAAGTATATATCTGAATAAGGCAAAAAATGATAAATGAAAAAAATGATCCGTTTTTTCGTTTTCCGTTTTTTAGTTTGAAAACGGATATAGACTGGACGGAAGATACCCTGATTAACATTGAATGTAATCAACACCTGACTGTCAAATCAAATTAATTCAGTACAATTCAAAAACTTTTTGACAATATTTATTGTTACGTGACATAAGACTGAACATATATGTATGACTGCCGATATGTATAATGTTTTCTCATTTACTAAATAAAAGTATGGCTGAGTTTTAAAATAAGAGAAAATAAATAAATAAAATGTGAAAAATGTGCATGTTTAAATAAAGTGCTTAACTTAAGCCGTGAAACCCCAATTCAGTCGTTTTTATGTCATATATTTTAGTGTTCATGGATTTAAGTATTGGTTTCGATAATCGTAAAAATTTAATTCTTGTTTTCATATAAATACACACGAACCTGTACTGTAATCGCTATTAGAGTAGGATATGGACGGTTTTATTATTTCGAAAAGATATAGCCTACAACGTGACATGTTGTGTTTTTCTCATTAGTTTTATATTTATCGGAGTAACAATGCAAACGGAATGACGAGCCGTTTCTGGCGAAAACATTGCTTTTTACTTTTCATTTCAAATAAAACGCGGGGTTGCCAACTTCGGCCAGCTAACTGGCGGGAGTGAGATTTTCTGTTCGAGATGTTTGCACACAAATGTTACAGTTCTTACCATGTAAATATTGTGCTTTTGCATTTAACCGTGTAAATACACTTTTGACGTAGCTAATTTTAGGTTTATAATGGTATAATGTAGATTTGCCATAAGATACCCTGCTTGAGTCTGAAAGCGTGAGTGTCATGCCAGATGCTTGAGATTTGGCAACCCTGAAAACCCGTTTCCCTTGAGTTGATTTATATAACAAATAACATTACTTTATACAGTTGTTAAAAAGCGGAAACTTCAACGAACATGAAATCACCAATAAACTACATCTACAAATATTTATTTTAATATTTCTATTTTAATATTCAGAGAGAGCAGGCCTGGTGGCACTATAGCCTATGCACTTTGAAATGATTTAATTTTTGCACTAATGGCACTACTGATTTTACAGTACTCAGTTTCTGGGTAAATAAACGTATATTTGTGTTTCAAATAAGAGTGAAATATGTGTCTTTGTGATCTGATTCAGACCTCAATACCATTCCTTAACATTGGTTTAATTTCACCTTGGTGAACATAGTGACTTTTAGAAATCGAAGGGAAACTTTAAACATTATACTTTGCACTTTTAATTTTAGTCGACTAAATCAACTGCAGTTTTAGGCGACTGTAATCTTATGATATTTAGTCAACTAAAACTAGGCTAAAACTAAAATAATTTAGATGACTAAATTATGACTGAAACTAAATTACATTTTAGTCAAAAAACTATGAAAAAATGAAATTTTGCTGCCAAAATTAACACTGATGTAAAGACATTGAAATCATCTATTTTGGCTGAAAACATCAAGAAATACATTAAGAAGTCTTATACTGCTGTAAACTTATTCCAGGGGAGTAGCTAGTTGATTTTACCAAGTGAAGGAATGGGATTTGGAGCCCCAAAAAGTGCTGCCCCCCCCAAATTTGTCATAGTGTTCATGCCCGTCCCCAGTGGTCATGCCAGGTCCCCTACCTTCACCCCACTCACCTTGGGGGCCTCCTCATCCCTTTCAGGTTACCGCCAAGCTGACGTCCGACTTCCTGGTCACCACCAGGCCGACGCCCGATTCTCCAGTCACTGTCAGGTTAGGTTAGGGGTGATCCGGAAGATGCCTCAGCGCAGGACTGCCCTATGGACCCCGCCTCAGCCTGAAGTCTGCACAAATCTGATCCTAAGTCCTGGTGCAGACAGCGATGCCAGCTGCCACACGACTCTCTGTGCCTGCCCAGGCAACTCTCCTGTGGAAGCCTGGAGGGGAAGTCCCTCGGTGCACTCTTGTTCCTGCCCTGCAGTTCCTCGGCCCTCGTCTTGCTCCTGCCCTGCAGTTCCCTCAATGCCCTCTTGGTCCTGCCCTGCAGTTACCCTGATGCCCTCCTGCTCTAGCACCGCTGGCCTCTCGGTGCCCTCGACCCCTGCTGGCCCTCTGAGGGTCTTCGACTCTGCGGTACTGATGGGCTCCAGGAGGGTCCCCATCACCGGATTACTGCCCACCTCCCCAGGGTCCGGAAGACAACCCGGACATTCCTTGTTCCCTCCTTGGTTCCTGTCCCAATTCCCTGTTCTTCCTTGGTTTTGCCCTAACTTGTGTTCTTTATTGTGGCCCTTGCTGTTCCTGGTCTTGCCCTGGTCTTTTCTTCTGTGCCCCTAGTGGTATCTTGTATCTGGTCCTGTGTCCAGTGTTAATGTCCATCTGGTGTTTTGTCCTGTCCCATCCTGCCCTGTCCTGTCCAGGGCCCCTTCAACCCTGGTGTGGTGCCAGTCCTGTAATGCACTGTCTGGTCCAATGTTCCATCTGTCTCCAGTCCTGTAGTTTGATCCCTATGATCCCCTGCTCTGTCTGTCCTTCAGTCAGGGAGGGGTACTGTCACATCCTGCCCATAATGTCTGCCTGACCCTCTTCTTTCCTCCTTGGCACGGCCCTAACAAGTCACACCTGGTGATAGTGCCTCTCTCGTTCCTGCCCCCGAGTTAATCACTTCCAGCTCCTCCTTTGGTGGTTTTGTATTTAAGCGTTTCCCAGTTTAGTTTCCCAGATCAGTCATTGGAGTTGTAACAGTATGTTGTCCATGCCTTGCCTTTTCTCCACTTCCTCGCTTGGATCCACCGTGATCCTGTTTGTTTTGAATTTCATTCTGCTTTATTTAACAAAACCTTTAGTAATCATGTATTATGCTTTCTCCTGCTTCCTTCCTCCTGCTAGTTGTGACACATAGCAAGTTACAGTAGAAAAGTATGAGGCAACAGCAGGTAAGATCATATGCACTTCCTAGGCAACTATGGATAAACTCTCAGTAAGACGAGAGAGAGCCTGTCTGACTGTCATTGAATTGTGCATATTGTAACGTCACCCCTCATATTTGCTTCCAAAAACAAATACGGGAAAACATGGCTATGTTCCACCTTTTGTGTTGTATGTTATAACAGAAAAGTATGAGAAATCCGTAGATAAAGCCATGTGCAGGTGACAAACAATGACAAACTCACCGGATTACATGGCTGCCTGTCACTGAACTGTACACATCAATATAACATTGCTGTGTACAGTTTATAAGCTTCCCTTCCACAGTATTGCTGCGGCATAACTGCAGGATCTTCCTAAGCTGGAAATACAGGAACACCCTGTCATCTCCACAGCTGCCTGGGCTGTGACCAACACTTACGCTGAGTGGCTCAGGCAGCTGGCATGACTTGGGTTTACATTGGCTTAAAGGAATGTGAATTCACTCTCTTTGTGTAGGAGGTCATGGCCGACCTTTCCACTATGTAGATACTTTTTATGCTTCCTTACTTTCGTAGCTTTTTATTGCCACATTGTCTATGTCTGCTGAGAGTACAAAATAATCAAAAATGTCACCATAGGTAACCTCAGGCCGCCATATTGTTTAATCCATCCACAGTGTTATGAACCTTGGATAAGGTAATGTTGTCCCATTCCAGCTTCTTATTGCTTCTGTGAAACTGTTCATGTTTGTTTGTTGTTCCTGTTAATTTGATTAACTATCTAGTATTCAAGAAACTGTCTGTTACGGATTGCTTCCAGGGAAGCAGAACAAAACGCTGTGAAGTCGGGTAAACAGGGGGTTTATTAGGGGAAATCACCAAACACAAACCCTTGAAAGTGGGTGTGGTGAAATGAGGTGAATAATATGCTATATTAGATATTTTTGACTTCAGTACAAACCACCGCACTGCTTGATATGAGGAAATCATTCAGTGCCACTACCAGTTTTTCATGCCAGTGGAAAACAAACACACGAAGTTCCATTGTCTTTGGTACTGTTTTGAAGTACCAAAAGTTCAGTGCTTTAGGCAATGGAAAAGCACCCTATGGCACCCCTAGCCACACCCACAAACTTAGCCTAAGGTGCATTTCCTGTACGATGATGGAAGTTAGCACCAACAATGCATCATACTGTTAGTTCAAACTAACATCCAAAGTACGACTGTTTCCCAAAACTATTGTACTTTGTTAGTATCACAGTTGTCTGAATCAAGTTAGTTCAAACTACAATGGTTTCAAATGTGATTGGTCTGACTCTCATGACAACTCACAAACTTCATCATATTATTTCTAAATATGACAGTTCTGCTGATATTACATTATTAATTTATTGTGTCAGCCATATAACAGCAATAATACTATTAAAAAATCAAAGATATCCATAGTGTCACGCCTGGCTCATCCGATCCTCATGTGTTCCCCCTCGTTACCTCGTGTTACTGTAATTCCCGATTGTACTCACCTGTTGCCTGTTATGTTCAACTTCTTCCATGTTAAGAGAATCTTAACAGAATGATGGATCTCCCCGAAAACACGCCACAGTGGACCAAAAGCCAGCGCCTCGGTCTCCTGCAAGAGGTGTTATTCTGGCTGAACCAGCCCGAGGTCCGGGAGGACCCGGTGGCGCTGGATTTGGCCAGCCGGAGCAGCGATCTTCTGACGGAGAAGTTCCCGCCCGAATACATGCTGCACCCGGCAGAGGCAGCCGAGCAGCCATTCCTCCAACTGGAGATGGTCCTTCCTCTGCCGACAGCCACCCGCCAGAGGAGAAAGAAGAAGCCGAAGGAGAGGAGAGCAGAGGAGGTCCCAACGATCACCCTGGGAACATGCTCCCTCTCAGCTGCTTCTCTCTCTGCCGACTATCGGGAGGAGCCCCTCCAGATCCGGGAACTGGCAGTGACCACCCGGGACGGCACCGCTGCATTGCCCCCTCAGGTACCCAAAGCCCGCATTGCGGCCACTGAGCTGGCCCCGCTAGCAGCCTGCCATTTCTGGGTGGCGCGTCTGGCGAATAGGGTAGCCAGGGCCATGTGGGACGCTATCCCGCGGACTACAAGGTATCTTAAAGGGACAGGGCCGTCTTTAACAGCGCCAACCCTGGTGGCCATAGTGGACGTTCCTGACCTGCCCGTCGTCCCTGTCCTGCCTGACTCGCCATCGCCCCCTGCTAGCCATGAGTTGGCGGTGCCCACTGTCGCCGCTACGACCTGCCGTCTCACCCGTCCTGCCTGTCTCGCCTGCGCCGCCTGTCCTGCCCGTCCCATCTGATTCGTTGCTATGCCCGTGGCCCGCCTGCCTGCTGCCGCCGCTACGCCCATGGTGGCGCCTGAGGCTCCAGCTGCACCGCCCACTGCTACGCCCGAGGTCCCAGCGCCGCCTCCGCCTGCAGCTACGCCCGGGGCTCCTGTACCAGCCCCGCTTCTGGCTGTGCCCGAGGTTCCTGCTGCGGCCCCGTCCATCCTGCCCATCTCACCGGCCCCGCCCGTCCTGCCCGCAGCAGCTATGCCCACTGTCCCTGCTCCGCCCATCTCTGCTCCTAGGCCTCCGCCTCCTGCTTCGCCCAAGGCCCCGGCTCGGCCTACCCCAGAACTCTCTGTCCCAGAGGAGGTCCTGGACTGTATTACCATCGCTCCTCCTCCCTTGATGAAGGGAGAGGAGGAGCTCGAATGGGACCCCTCGGGGATCTACCTACTGAGCCCCAGGGACTCGGGTGGTGGAAGCACTCCTCCACCATCGCCCCGACGTGGTGGAGCCTGACCGGGTCCCCGCCTATCAGTGTCCCGAAAAGGGGAGAGGACATAAGCGCAGGGACCGCCCTTGCTCTCCCCAGCTGTGGCTCGGCAGCTACCTGTAGGTCCTTCAGCTCTGGTCCAGCTGTAGCCTGCGGGTCCCCCGCCGGCGCCTCGTCAGCCGCCTGTGGGTCCCCCTGCCTCGGCTCATCGGCCGCCTGCGGGTCCCCCCGCTGCGGCTCGGAGTCGGACGCTGCCTTCCCCGGCTCTGGCTGCCCCGTCGCCTGCTCCAGCTTCCCCCTCCTCGCCTGCGCCAGGGTCCCCTCCACCTTCCTCTTCCCCTCTCCCGGTGCCCATTCCGTCTTCCTCCTCATTTCCTCCGTTTGTCCCTCAGCCTGTCTCCTCCTCCCCTGTGTGGTCCCCTCCAGCTCCGGCCTCCCGTCCGTCTGTGGCCCCTGCGGCTGCCTTCCCTCGCCCGCCTGGGTTCCCCCTGGTTCCCCATTGTCCTCCTGCCTTTGTTCCGCCTCCTTCCTTCGTCCCTCCTGTTTTTGCTCCTCGTCCCTCTGTGTCTCCTCTGTTCCCTCCTGGTCCTTTTGTTCCCCCGTTCTTTGTGCCCTCCATGTCTCCTTTCCTGGTCTGCTTGTCTGTGTTCCCTGTTTTGTGTCAGGTCTTGTCCTACTGTACTTCCTGTCCCTG